TAGGTAGGTAGGTAGGTAGGTAGGTAGGTAGGTAGGTAGGTAGGTAGGTAGATAGATAGATAGATAGCCAGTTCGGGTATGATATGCCATATGCTAAACAAATAAAGGAGTCCATTAATTCTTCCTTCATTTCCATTGTTCTCCCAAGTCCCACAACCACAACTATGTTACTCCACCCAAAGAATGTCAAATTCCTCATTTTGTGTAGTGAAACACTATGACACCAGATCATACTTGGTATGGTCTTTTGATCAGAGAGGTGGCAAGCGTAGAAAAACTGAACAGGCAACAAGTCCATTTTTAGAAGTATATCAAATATTGCCAGATCCCAAATGTTTTATTGGAGAAATGAGCAAATACTGCCCACTGTTACTAGTCAGATGATTGCTTGAGCAGAAATGAAGAAACTTATAATCATAACTTGATTTTTTTTTAAATTTAAAAAGTGCTTGCCTGCCATGTTTGATGGTGTATTTAACTGTTATAATTACTTTTAATTACACAGCTGTGTAATTTTCACTTAATTACATTCATAGAGTTCAGATTTAAAATCACAACATTGGAACATTTAGTTTTATAGCAACCCATAATAACTGTCCAGGAAAGCAATTGACTCCCAAATGTTCTGTTGGCGACATTCAGAAACTGATTTTTAATTTTTATTTTGCCATTTTTCCTTCCTTCTTTGCTTCTTTCCCTTCCTCCCTCCATTCTTTCTCCTCCTCCTCCCTCCTCCTCCCCTCTCCTTCTCCTCCTCCTCCTTATTATTTTCTATTTTCTGTCTTATTTATTCACTAGGCTTTCTTCTTTGGTTCTTTTTCTAATATTTGTATTAGTGTATATTAAAACCCCATCCCCCAATCATTACTTGATTAAGTCAATCAACTCATATTTTCATCCAGAGAAAGTATTACTAAGATAATTTCACAGAGCTTTTCTGAAATTGAGATGGCTCGATTTGGGCCATCTAATTTCTGAGATGTCTCAGAGATGTCTCTCTCTGGTTTTTCCCCTTCTTCTGCCATTTCCAGCTAAAAGAGAGTTTTTTTGCTATTACTCTGGCAGGTGCTTTGCCTCTTAACTGAAAATTTCTTCCCTTGCTGTGAAAAGCTAACATTGCAAAGAATGGTAGTGGTGGGCGAAACCACAACTAGGATCATTTTCTGTTTCTGCTCTAATTGTGTGTGTGGGGAGGGCACTAGCTGGCCTCACCAGCCAGGCTTCAAATTGCAGTAGCAGAACTCAACCGAGTGTTTGGGTGGTGAAACTGGCAGCACACAGAGTAAGTGTGAAAGTGCATATGTCAACATTTGGTGGTTAAGTACACCCTGTGGCTCCCTTGTTTTAATGCTCCTCTAAGTGGTGAATTGTGTGTTTTTATTAGTCAAACTGAGCTAATGGTATGATTCAGAATAGAACAACCACACACACACACACCCCGCCCAGCAATATAGCTATCAGGGAAAAACCAGAATCCAAAATTCCCTCTCAAGCAACACATTTAATAGAAGCAAGCAAATTAAGATAAATGGGCATGCAAGAACTCTTCAACTGATATGCAGCATGAATCAGGTGATTAGGGGGTGAAAATAAAATAGAAATGCTATATATTAACAGCGTGCTTTGGCAACTGCTCTACTTCAAACTGCTACAAAAAACTAAGAGCCCCACTATCTCATGGGATGTTTAGAATTAGAAGAATTAGAATTATTAGAATTAGAATTCTTTATTGGCCAAGAGAGATTAGACACACAAGGAATTTGTCCCCAGTGCATAAGCTCTCAGTGTACATGCAACAGTAGTGATAGATCATTATCATAGTCACTGTAAAAATAAGGTAAAGGTTCCCCTCGCACATAGGTGCTAGTCATTCCCAACTCTAGGGGGCAGTGCTCATCTCTATTTCAAAACCGAAGAGCCAGCATTATCCAAAGATGTCTCCATGGTCATGCGGCCAGCATCAATTTCAATTGTCAATTTAATGGGTTTATATGCCGCCCAATCCCGGGGGGGACTCAGGGCGGCTTACAAGTACGAATAGAATAAAATAACATACAGGGGAAGAACATACAACAATACAAACATTTTAAAAACACAACACACATCCGGATTAATTGGGGGCTGACCTGGTTTGAGTCAGCAACCCC